GGCCTGTGTGATCATGAGGTGTCCATAGGACCAGAGATCAGGTATCAGGTATCAAAGACCCAGAACAAAAAATCATATCCATGTGAATGAGGGGAAGTACAGAATGGAGACCCAAAGCCCATCTATAGACAATTGGACATCCTCTTACAGAAGGGTCATAAGGAAGAGACAAGCCAATCAGAGTGCAATGTAGCACCAATGAAACAAAACTTTCCTCTAGTTTTTAATGCTCCCCCACCCCCCACTATCATGACCTCAATTCTACCTTACAAACCTGATTAGACCAGAGCATGTACACTGTTACAGGGAGCTTGAAACACAGGGAATCCAGGACTGATAACCCCCCTCAGGATCAATAATGAGAATAGATACCAGGAGGGGAAAGGGAAGGTGGGGGGAGAGAGGGGGAGCCAATCACAGTGGTCTATATATAACTCCTTCCTAGGGGGATGGACACCAAAAAGTGGGTGAAGAGAGACAGCAGTTGGTGTAAGACATATGGGAGAACAGAATTTATGAATTATCAAGGGGTCACGAGAGATGGAGGATGGGGGAGGGGAGAAATAAGGAGCTGATATCAAGGGCTCAAGTAGAAAGAAAATGTTTTGAAAATGATGATGGCAACATATGTACAAATGTGCTGGACACAATGTATGTATGTATGGTGACAAGAGCTGTAAGAGCCCCCAATAAAATGACTTAAAAAAAAAAAAGAGTTACAGCCATGGAAACCCACAGGGGAAATTTTACCCTGTTCTCCCAATAAACAAACTCACTGCCATTGGGTTGATTCTCACTCATAGCAACTGTATAGGACTGAGTAGAACTGTCTCTGAGTTTCCAAGACTGTAACCCTTTATGAAAATAGAAAGCCTCATCTTTCTCCCACGGAGAACATGGTGGTTTAGAATGGCCGACCTTGTGGTTCAAAGCCCAACGTGTAACCACTAAGCCACTAGGGGCTCCATATTATGTTCTGTAGGGCCACTGTTCATCAGAATTGACTTGATGGTGGTGAGGTGTTTACCTATCTGATTTGAAACATACTTAAATACTTAAAATGCACTTAAATAAGCCATGGTTATTTTAACTGGGAAGAAATTGTCAGTGCAGGGTCAGTATTTCAAACCCGCCAGAGGGAAAAAGTTGAAGCTATTACCATAACTTTAAAGTCTCAGATTCAGATTTAAAGTGCGAGAAACTGAAAGGGTCAGTTCTACTATGTCTTATTGGATCTCTCTGAGTTGGATTTAACTCGATTGGCGTGGTTTTGGGTTTTTACATGCTTAACTAAGAAGTCCTGGAGGTGTTTCTGGCTATGTACTGGGCTGCTCATAGCAAGGTTGATGGCTAAACACCCACCAGCTTCTCAAAGGGAGAAAAATGAAGCCATTGACCCAGGAACACATTTACAGCCACTGAAATCCTATCTATGGCGACAGTAGCAGAGTCAACTCAAGGACAGTGTGCTCATATGCTTTACTATACATACGGTAAATCAGAGCGGATTCCGTGATAGTGAATTTGGTATTTTAGGTTTAAAGAGCCATGGTGATTAAATGCTTGGCTGTTAACTGAAAGATCAGTGGTATGCTAGATTGTGTGTGGAGCCATGCTGAGACATGCAAGATCCCTTGGGATGCTTCCACCGCCACTGGCTCCACGGTATTTGCACCCACTGGCCTGTGATCTTCCTGTAATTTGCATCATTGCAGGTGCTGTGTGAGTCTAAAGGGGATTTATGGACTAGTATTTGACTTATGGGCTAATATTGGACTTACGGACTTGATTTGGACCGGCCTGGGATGCTAACATACAATTGCTCTTTGATATAAAGCTCTTTCTTATACATGTATGAATGTCATTGGATTTGTTTCTCTAGTCAACCAGGCCTAACACAAGTGGTGTGAAGCCACCAGCCACTGCACAGGAGAAAGATGTGACAGTGGGCGTCTATTAAGATTGCAGGCTTGGAAACACTGTAGGGAAGTTCTACTCTGTCCTAATGGGTCCCATGAGTCAGAATCAACTTGATAGCAACAGCATATATGCTTTACTGTCTGTTTTTGAGCCTGAGGGTAAGAGCAGTGTTATGGGCTGGTCTTTGAAGCTTGAGATTTGTAAGGCATAGGTCATGGTCCCCCAAAGCGGAGAGGAGATAGAGCTTCTTGGGTAAGGAACTTATGGATGTGTTTGATGGATGCTCTCTGGGGAAGAGGAGTGGGAGGATATGGCCAAAGAGACAGCTCAGCTGGGATGATATCTCAGGTGAGCTCACTGCAATCTGGTCCCTTAGTGGAGTCCTAGAGTGCAAACGGCACCACACACTGGTCCTGCCTCAAAGACAGGGGACAGGCCTTTGTATTTTTGTCAGCCATTGGCTGAGTGAGATGGGAAAGGGACCTGAAGATCATAGGAGCAGGGATAGTGGCTCCCTTGAGGTTTAGGCTAGTTCTGGAGAAGGAGGCAAGGGAAGTACTTTGTGCTGGTTGGTTCACGGACATCCATGAACCCACACACAGCCAACCCTGTAGTGGGAATGACCAGAGGTGGTAGCCTTTGATGATTGCTGGGTCTTTGCAGGGATCTTACAGCACAGGAAAGGTTTCATGTGTGCCATGAGATGGCATGGTGTCATGATTGGGCAGGGATGAGGACAATGGGAAGAGAGAATGATCGTGGGCTATAAGCTTACCTTTAGATGAAGGAGTAGAGAAATGTGGGGATGAGCACATATGGTCCATGAAGAAGTGGAACCCGAAGAGAAGAATTGGTGGATGCACTGCATCACTGCACTCTATGGTTATAAGCCTTGCTTATAATCTAGTCGATGGGCATGGCTGAGGCAAGGAGCCATGGTTTTCTACACAACACTGTTGAAAAGGGGTGTGTTTTTGGAGTGACTGATGACTTGTGTGAGGAAGAAAACCCTGCCCTCTACCGTGTCCAGCACAGTCTTCTCTTCGCCTCCACTCAGCCCTTCACATGACCCCATCGATCTGGCACTTTCAGCATGAAGCGAAGAAGGCACATGAAAGGGATTTAAGCCTGGTAATATATAATGCTCTTTTCACTTTTTCTAATCTGTTCAAAGGATTAGTGCGAAATATAAATCCCCTCAGACATACATGCCTAAATACGTCAGAATTCTTGGATACCCCTTTTAATTAATTGGAAATTCAACTGTAGAGTGTGCGTGTGAAACAGGCATTTACAGCTTCAGTTGCAGACATAAGCCATGATGAAATAGCCTACCTGTCACAAGTGAAACCCAGAATAAAAGCAATATTCCCAGGGGAAAGCCAGCCTGCTTCATTGAATAAGGCAATCCTAAAAAACACAAAATGTCCCATCCCTCAATTAATGATATAGAAAAATGACATTTCCTATAACACACACATACACATAATATATATAAAATCCAAACGCAAGTTATGGCCAAGAAGTTGATTCTGACTCATTGCTACCCTATAGGGCAGATAGAACTGCCTTTTGGGGTTTCTGAGAATTTACATTTTTCTGGAAGCAGACCACCTCATCTTTCTCCCTCCGAGTAGGTGGGGATTCAAAATAGCTGAACTTGTGGTTAGGAGATCCCTTTACAGCCCACTCTGCCACCGGGGCTCTCTCCTGCCTGTAAATAAAACTCTCCAAACCAAACTTACCGAGTCATAGTGACCCTATAGGACAGGGTAGAACTGCTCCCCTGCCCCAAGTATGAATTCAAATTCACAGTTTCAAGAATGTAACTCATTTTAGGAGTAGAAAGCCTCATCTTTCTCCTGTGGAGCATTTGGTGGTTTCTAACTATCAATCTTGCAGCTAGCAGTCCAGAGCATAGCCCTCTATGCCACCAAGTCTCCTTGGTTAAGTAAACTTATATAATTATATCACATAGTAATACTGTCACATAGTAATAGTGCATATGACAATATTACAATTAAATGTTACTTAGCATATTAATATTTATTTTAATATAACATGTTAATGGTTGATGGAGCAAGTTTATTAGGTGGTGGGATAAAAATTAAAAAGTAGAAAATAGAAATAGATGTCCTATCATATAAATAAGTTTCAGTGTTAGAGAGGAGAAGTCCTAGCATATCTGGATCTACCAACAATGATCCCAGGCTGATGCTTCCTCTTTAAAGTGTTGAAAAGCAAGGGTGTGGCTCAAAGGACTGAAGGTGAACCTGACCCAAACTGAAAAAACAAACTCACTGCCATTGAGTCGATGCTGACTCATAGCAACCCTATGCCTAAGCCATGGCATTTTCAGTCACCTCTTATGCATGTGAAAGTTTGGCCATTGAATAAGGAAGAGTGAAGAAGACCCTATGCATTTGAATGATGGTGCTGGTGAGAATTATTGCAAGTATGATGGACCGTGGACAGAACAAACAAATCTGTCTCGGAAGAAGTACAGCACCGGTGCTCCTTGGAAGCAAGGATGATGAGACTTGGTCTCATCCACTTTGGCCCTGCTGTCAGGAGCTAGCAGTGCTTGGAGAAGGACACCATCCTTGGTAAAATGGAGGGGCAGCAAAAAAGAGGAAGGCCCTCAACAAGATGATCGGCACAGGGGCTGCAACGATGAGCTCGGACAATGGTGCCAGGACCACCGAGTCGGGTTTTGTTCTGTTGGACAAAGTGTTGCTGAGTCAGAACTGGCTCGAGGGCACAGGACAGCCACCACTGTGACCCCAAATCCTTCCTATTTGTTAACTGGGAAAACAGAGAGGGGAACAGTGGGATTATGGCATATAAGAAAATATTGTTTCAAAAATGGGACAGAGAGATATAGGCAAAGGCCAGAAAAAATGAATAAAGCAAAAGCATTTTCTAAAAGCTGGGGACATAGACAAGTATATTATTTGATTTTTTCCCAGGGAATAGTCTTTGGTTATGAGCAATAAAATATTTAGAATAAAACAAGTTTAAAATATTCTCACCCAGAAGCTTTATTCTCCCAGAAGAACTTCCTTTATAATGAAAATCTCTAATGTGCAATGAAGAGATACTTTGAAATGTGGCCAACATACATCCATTGAAGGTGTTCACATCAGTCATGGATTTTGGAATCCTGCAGAGTAGCCTGCCTCTTTCCTCGTCCATGGAGGCTGACATTCAGTCAGTCTCTGCCCCAACTTGTTTCTACTTTGCTTGAGCTACCTCTGTTTCAGGTACCACTTTGAGGGGGAAAGGGAGAAAGGTTCTATGCATGGAAACATAAAAAATCAAGCAGGGCCTTTACTTATGAAGGGTAAGAAAAGTAACTCAGATCCATGTTTAATCTTGCTTAAAGTGGTAAAGCGTGCCGTAAAAGTTACCTCCTCAAAGAAGACTTCTGTTGGCAGGGATTCGTTTTTCTTTTACTTTTAGAACCATGATATTTTTCCCCAAGTGACAAAAATACTAAGCACAGAAAAGCATAAATGTCTTTGTCACTGTAATGAAATATGCTTAATTATTATTTTGTTGTTGCTGTTGTTGGAGTTTTCCCCTTGCTTCCAAAAATTTGGAGAAAAAAATATTAAGCTGTTCATTTCTTTCCATTGTGGAGGGTTAACATTCATGTGCACTTTCAAGGAATAAAATTGTACTTATTGACTGAATGAAGCTCAAAATTAATGTATCAAAATAAGTTTGTACTTTTAAACTTATCAGCAGAAAGATGGCAATGGAAATACTGTATGGACTTAATTTTTCACATGTCAGTTTTTACATTAAGGATTTGTTCCTTGAGCATTTCCAAATCTCTGGAGGCTTTCCACTTGGATAAGATGGAAGAATGGGGATTCAAGTAATGGTGGACACTTGAGGAGGAAGAAGAGAAGAAACACAGAGTAAGTGATACCATCGCTTGACCAAGCCCTATTGTCGCACCGGTTAAGCACTAGGCTGCAAGCACCAAAGCTGACAGGTCAGACCCACCCAGGAGCTCCACTTAAGCTGCTGACCACCCGGCTCTCTCAAAGATTACAGCCTAGATCTGTTCTCAAAGATCACAGCCCAGATCTGTTCTCAAAGATTACTGCCTAGGATCAGAGGCATTGTGAGGGAAGACAGAAGGCACCCTACTTAAATCCAAGGGGGCCCTGATGAACCACCTCAAGCTTCCTCTAAGGTGGGAGGTGCAAGTGCGGAGATTGCTCCTACGCACCCCTTCCCCTGCTAGCCGATGTGTAGGAACCCGGATAGAGCATTTTCGCTCCGTTGTCAGGGGTCACTGAGTCTTACACTAAGGTCCACATCGGCAAACAACAGCCACCACCAACTGACCTAAGAGCCTAAGAACAGACAATCCGTAATTCCTACACTGTGAACTCCAGCTTAATTTCTCTGTATGTGGAGAAGTGTTCCCAGACAAGGAAGAGGTGAATCACAATCCCATTTTCTGCGTAAGAGAGACTGAGGCTGTCACCATGTTTTAAAAAAGGAAGATCTTTATGAGGAAAAGCACGGATTTTGCCATGTGCTTTTTTTTTTTAATTAAAGAACAAATAACAACTGGACAACACCCGCATAATAAGAACCTTGTTACACTTGGCCTTTTTACAAAAAAAAAAAAAAAAAGGAAACAAAAACCACTTACCAATTATGCCTGATCCTATGATGGAGTTGACAACATTAAAAATAGCAGCCGACTGACGACAAGGTTTCCTTTGATGATCAGGTTCAGAAATGAGCCCCTCTCTGTCATCTAGCCCTCTCTGTTTCGACGGATATAATGGCTATTAGACAAATATATATTACCTCAAAAAATCAGACCCGCGCCAGCCAAATGTGCAGTGCTGGATGCTTAACACACACAACGTTAGTCACAGTCACAATTCAATAATAAAGTAATTACGAGGAGAATCATAAAGTGGCAGCGTAGGAAGTACAGAGCGCTTTGCCCACAAACTCCATCCTAAAATGTTAGCTACCCCAAGGTCAGGATTGCTCCATGCAATCCCAAAATACATGATCTGGGACCAGCAATGATGTGGGTTTGTGTAATTCAAAGGATCAGCGGAAAATGCCTGCTAAGAAAAAAACCTCAGATCAAGGCAAAACTTTTTTTCCCCCAACTCCCCCTCTTCTCACCCCGAGAGAGATCGTCACAGTCCTCAGCAAGCCCCCAGGGTGACACTGGAAGGGATTTGATCGCAAAACATGCTTCCGTCGCTGGGTTTACCTGCAGCGGCGGCACCTGCAGCTGTCCCGGGTAATTCATGGCTGCGCTGTGCTCCTGGGCAGGGAAAGGAAGATTCCCAGGACTGGGTCTGGACTCTCCCAGGACCAGCCTCTCCTGCACCCTCCCCTCCCGCTGGGCTGCGGGCTCTGCAGGGGCAGCTGGCCTCCGGGCGGGGCTCCACCCCCGAGCCGCCAGTAGTGGTCCCCCCACCCCCGGCGTTTGTCCGGCCAAATGCACCTTCCTCGCAGCGCGGCGATGCTCCACGCTGGTTTCCATCCTTCCCTCCACCTTCCACCGGCTGCCCAGCTTTTCCTACCCAGGAAACACACCCAGATGGTTCTGCTCTCTAGCCCCATTTCTGTCGAAGGTCAAGCCCATTACTCTTTGGCAGGCCCTGTTCCTGGATGAGAACCCAGTACCCTCCAGTCCCCATGGAATACTGTTTGTCTTGCCACCTCCTCCCCGTCCCCAGGCTTCTGTGGCAGAGAGAAGGCTGCATAGTCCGGACCCGAGGTTTGCTTCTCTGGGAAATAGTCTTGGGAACTCACAGGGGCAGCTCTACCCCGCCGTCCTGAAAGGTCGCCAAGAGTCAGCATTGAGTCGATGGCAATGAGGTTTGTTTTTTTTAACCTTTCTTCAATGGAAATGGAAGGATTCGGAAGAAAACAAACCCAAAGGAAAGAAACTTGCCTCCTGAATTGGCAGACTTGTTGACGGAGTATGCTTTCGACGAATGTTCCCTGGTGAAGTTTCTGAAAAGGAGACTTCCAGAGAAGAAGGGCTTTGGACTGATAGGTTATCCGGAGTGAAGAAGGGAAGTTCATCCGGACTCTCAGACCAAGGGAGACTTTCTTTACTTAATTGGGGAACGGGGCGAAGATCAGAACAGATCACTGATTTTCCAATCAACTATTCATGAATATTTCATTTCATCTTATCTATTGCAATCCATTCTTCCTCCGTGCGCTCTGCTTCCTAACTCCGGCCATGCTCCCGTGTTGATCTTAAATGGTTGAATATTCTACCTGTCCACACCACATTACTGTTCCCCTCATAGGTCGAATGTTTGTCTGAGTCAGTGCCAGCCCCAAAGGGTGACCAAGGGCCACATTCCTGGGAGTTCCACACAGTCTCTGTCTGAGCAGTAAGC